GTGGAGGTGGGTGGCAGGAGCTGGAGAAGGGCTTACAGTCCTTTCTGTGGCCCTCTCTGGTCTCATAAACCAGGAGTGAGTCACACAATAAGCTCCCCTCCCCGTTTGGCCTTCCAACCCCATTGGGTGGTTTATTAGGGCCGGGAGACTTTGGGTAAGTGATACCGTAGGTGCTGTAATCAAAGGCCTGGCCAGACCAGAGGTGATGCACTTTCTTGATTACTTAGTTCTAAGGAGCTACATGAAGAGAGCCTCTCCTCCCCATCTCCACCCGGGATGGAACTCGGATAAAGACCCATTGTCCAGCCCAGTGACCACCAGGGAAAGTTCCACAGCCCCCGGCGACAGGAGGACAAAGACTTTCTTCTCAAGCCAGGGATTTGCAGCAAAGTCAGGGATTCCTTTTAGGGCTCCGTCCACAGTTGGGTTTCTGATTTCACAAAGCACAGCTGGTGGGAAAGAACTGGGCGGCAGAGAAAATGGGGGCCTCGGGGCTCTGGTCTGTCCCCGCTCCCAGGCCTTCCCCGGCTGAGAGAGAATGGAAGGGTTCAGCCAATAGGCTCCCCCTTCTCCCATCCACCTCAACGTTATCCAACATTTCCCCCCTAAGATCCCAGGACCATTCTTTTGTCTGGGGACGGTGTCCTCCTACACCACCTGCACCCTCAATTCCTGGCATCGGGAGAATCACCCAGCCTGCTGCCTCCAGGCCAGCCAGCCAGGGCAGGACATCCTCTTGGTGAAAAACCCAGGAACATAGCTCTCCAGGTGGCCTGTGCCTGTCACCACCTCTCCGATGATAGCCCTTGAGTAGAGGCAGAATCGGAGTGTATTGGAAAAGCCGCCAAAACCCAGGTGGAAAGTTTCCTGTAGAAACGTACCAGACCCCATTGGAGTGGAACATGAGCCCCGAACACTAGCTGGCCTCCTCGGGGCAGTGGCCAGCACCTGGCCACACTGTCCGGTCAGGTTTGAGCCAGAGCCTTCTCTGCCTGTTGCCCTGTGGTTTCACCTGTATTCTGTTTTCTCTTCCCTCTCTTCTCCTTTCTCCCTCTCTCTGGCCATCTTGGGCGCTGTGTTCTGAAGCTACTCCAACCGCAGGTACCGTACCAGCAGCGGAGGTAATGGGCATGGCATGGGATGTCACAGGTGGAGGCCAGCCAAGGCGGAGAAGGAGGGAGAGGCTCGGAAGAAAGCATGCTCCAGACTCACCCTTTCAGGGTTGGGCAGCCAGACTGTCAGGGAGGATGTGTGTAGGGGATGGAGCCAGAGTCAAACGCATCCTCATCCCTCCACTTACTATTTATTGACAAAGGGGATGACTTAGAAGGGCCCCCCACACACATGGGCTCCACCCCTGTTCTCTGGAGCTGGCGCCTTCTCTGAAGCTGAGTGATGACTTCCTTGCTCCACCTGGGCGCTGGCCTAGGCTTGACATCTCAGAGCCCAGAGAGAGGGTCACAGTCTGTGCCCCGAGAAGGCATGCTGCACCCCGAGTGGGCACTGCCAGCTCCTGTCCTCTGGTCAGGCTGCATGCCCGGAAAGGGTGACACTGTGCATGCTGGCCTTGCACGCTGCATGGGGGCCCGGCGCCAGCTCTGCCATCTCCCGTGGGTTCTGGTCCGTGAGAACCAGTGAGCATATCTTTGGACAGAGGAGGGTGCTCCAGGATCTGGAGTGTCTGGGCGCCATGGGCTGACGGTCCCCTCACCCATCTAAACCCAGCTCCCAGGAGAGGTCAGTGTTAAGAACAGCCTCCACTCGAGTCCTGGGAGGTTGATGCACACAAGTGAGGTGCTGGGCAGGCAGGTCCCAGCTTAGAAGCTGACCTGCTAACCACGTTCCTCCTCTCACGTCCTCAGGTGTGGGCTGGAGGGACATCAGAGGGGACTTCACCACGGAAGGCCTGTCCTCACCTGGAGACACTGGGCAGGGGGCCCAGGTCCATTCCCCTGCCCTCTGAGGCTGAGAACAAGGCTCGCCTGGCAGAGCAGAGGCTGTGGGGCCAGGGCTTCCCGGAGCCTCCTCAGGCTCCAGGCAGCAGGGAATCTGAGGGTTGGTTTATGGAGAGGATGCCACCTTGCCCGATTTGGTTTCCTGCCCACCTTCACGCCTTTACCCTCACCCCCATTTTAGGTTGATTCTATTTCTGTTGCACACCCTGCTTCCTTCAGTTTGCATCTGTTTTGTCAGCCAGATCTGGGGGTGGTGCGCTCCCATCCCCCTTCCCTCCTGCAGTTCTCTGGGGGTTGCTCCGATTTCTTGATTCAAGTTTGCAGAGGAGTCTCCTCTGGGCCTGTTTCGGCGGGTGCACAGGGCAGCCTGAGCAGGCTGGGTGAGGATGAGACAGGGAGGGCGCCCGGAGCATCAGCTAGAAGCTCATTGGTCAAGCAGCTCCTGGCCCACCTACCCGACTCTGGCACCCGGGACCCAAGGCAGGTGGGCCTGGTGGCAGGGAGTCTGCCTTGCTCACAGGGCATTCATGCCAGTCTGTGCTGCCCCTGTCCAGAGTGGCAGTTGCGAGGGGGATGGGTGTCATTCCAGACACCCCACTTGGCACTTCCGTCTAGAGAAGGTTCGAGCTCCTGGTATGCAGAGTGGGCGCAGAGTCTCTGCCGTCAGTCAGTGTGTTTCCAGGCTCCAGCTTCTGTGGGACGTGGTCGTAGAGGCCCTGCCCTTTGTAAGGAGCCATGCTGGGATCTCCAGCTGTTCTCAGCCTTCCACGCGGGAAAACCTCTGCGTAACCTGCAGACGGCAGGCAATGGAGCCCAGTGGACCTGATTTCCAGCCCACTGTTCCCTTTCCTCTCATCCTCCCCAAACCTGGATGGTTTTCCCCAAACGGATCTGTTTGAATCGCACCGGGTGAAGGTGATCCCTTTTGTGCTCCCATGCCTGCTGTCCCTCGGGACTGCTGCCCATCGGGCCTGGCCATCTGTGGTTGGGCCAGGCGGGCCGTGCACCCTGTGGGCATTTTGGGACCGAACCTTCCACCTGGAAATGTCTGGAAACTGCTGCCCTCATCTCTGATTCGGCTGAGATCTGTAATTGTTGGGTAGGCGGCCCATGACAGGTCTGGGGTCTTTGCTCAGTTTTCTCCGTCTCCGACGGGGTGTTTGTTCCTGAACCTGAGGAAAACCTTCGGCCATGGCTGGGCTGCCTCCAGGTGCATCAGGCCACCCGTCAGGTAGACACTGCCTTCAGGTCGGGGTCCCGGGCTCCCAGTTCTCCATCCCCCTTCTTCCCAGTTGCCAGGCTGGTGGTCCCCACTGAGCACAGGTGGTTCTCCGGCCCATAGCACCTGCTGTGGCTGGAGGTGACATCCTAGCAACATGTCGGTCCAGCCTGCGGGCCACTCTGTCCATAATCCCCGCTTCTGGGCTTTATTTCCCTTCTGTCCTCTACCCCGCCCCCGCCCCCAGGATGGCATCACCTGAGCCCCCTTGACCTGAGCACCGGACATGTTCCCCAGGGGAAACCTTCCTTCTTCCTTCTCCTCCCTCCTCCTCCCTTCCCCTGTACACACCTCTAACCTCACTCACCTGCCCCTCTGTCACACCCCTAAACTCACTCACCTGCCCCTCTGTCACACTTCCAAACTCATCTGCCCCTCTGGCCCTTCCCTCGGAGCCTCTCTTTGCCTCTGTGCTCCCTGTCTCTCCGGCCTGTCCAGCCATGGGAACAGAGACACCGCTCGTGAGTGGTCAGAGTGCTTATTTGCCAGTTGTGACCTCAGACAGCTAAGGTTTGAAAACTCCAAGGTGACTCCCGTGATGCCTGGGAAGCAAAGCATTCCTTTCCTCTCACGCCCTCTGGGTCCCCTCCCACTGACACCTGAGACTGTTGCCTCTGGCCCCTCTGTCACACCTCCAAACTCACCTGCCCCTCTGTCACACCTCCAAACTCACCTGCCCCTCTGTCACACCTCCAAACTCACCTGCCCCTCTGTCACACCTCCAAACTCACCTGCCCCTCTGTCACACCTCCAAACTCACCTGCCCCTCTGTCACACCTCCAAACTCACCTGCCCCTCTGTCACACCTCTAAACTCACCTGCCCCTCTGTCACACCTCCAAACTCACCTGCCCCTCTGTCACACCTCCAAACTCACCTGCCCCTCTGTCACACCTCCAAACTCACCTGCCCCTCTGTCACACCTCCAAACTCACCTGCCCCTCTGTCACACCTCCAAACTCACCTGCCCCTCTGTCACACCTCCAAACTCACCTGCCCCTCTGTCACACCTCCAAACTCACCTGCCCCTCTGTCACACCTCCAAACTCACCTGCCCCTCTGTCACACCTCCAAACTCACCTGCCCCTCTGTCACACCTCCAAACTCACCTGCCCCTCTGTCACACCTCTAAACTCACCTGCCCCTCTGTCACACCTCCAAACTCACCTGCCCCTCTGTCACACCTCTAAACTCACCTGCCCCTCTGTCACACTTCCAAACTCACCTGCCCCTCTGGCCCTTTTCTCGGAGCCTCTCTTTGCCTCTGTGCTCCCTGTCTCCGGCCTGTCCAGCCATGGGAACGGAGACACAGCTCGTGAGTGGTCAGAGTGCTTATTTGCCAGTTGTGACCTCCAAGGTGACTCCCGTGATGCCTGGGAAGCAAAGCATTCCTTTCCTCTCACGCCCTCTGGGTCCCCTCCCACTGACACCTGAGACTGTTGCCTCTGATCCCAGGAAAGGCAACCAAATAGCCATCATCAGAGAGTCACTTCCTTTCTGTCACTCTTGGCAAAGGGACCATCAGGCGGAGGGCAGGACCACGTGGAAGCACCCTCAGCCCTTTTCATTCCTGTCTCTGACCTGCAGGCCCAGGGAGAACTCGCTCTAACCGCCTCTCTCAGCATCTCCGCCCCTAAGGCCTCTCATGGGGGCCCACAGGGTCGCCTGTGGGAGCCTGGCTGTGTGAGCGTGCGTACTCGGCTTGCACGAGGACCAAGGGGCACGTGAGAGCATGAGCATGGAGAGCGTGGGGAATGTACCTCCACTGTGTGTGGGCAGGGAGGCCCAGGTCTCTGAGCTACACAGAGTGGGATGGTTTAAGTTAAGAGAGTCGTTGAAGGTGGGTTTTTTAATGACACCTTTTAAATAATTATAGAAAAGGGAGGCCTGTGAACATTGTATTTGCCAGAAACTTTTAGAGAATACACCCTTAAGGCACCAAATTAGAGCAGTCCTGGCCAGGGCGGTCCACGCCTCTCGAGGCCCCTCCCAACAGCAGGAGCGGTTGTGTCCATGGCCCATGGGCTTCCATGGCCGTGGGCGCCACCAGGACCCGGCCTGGGAGAGAGCCGACCTTTGCCTGCTGGGTCTCAGGCTCTCCCATGGATGTGTCTGTCTGTCTGTCTGTCTGTCTGTCTTGGTGGGTGGGGTAGATGAAATCCCTTATGCTGAGCTTTTATAGCACTGAGCCTCCCAGGCCTGGGGTGACCTGGGACTGAATATATCCTTGAATAATGTCTATGAGAGCGGGATTACCCCTCCCCCACCCCCACACACACACCTTCCTGATGTCTGTGGGTTGAGTGGGGCTTGAGGGACCTCCCACCGTCAGCCTGGCCTCTGCCCAGGAATCCCCGGAATGTGTGAGAGTCAGCTGCCCAGTGTGGCTTCTGTGGTCAGCGCCCTCGGGGCCCAGCAGTGCCTCTGATCCTACAAGTAGGGAAGTGACAAGGGATCCCAGGAACAGTCCCTCCTCTGTGGGGCACTTGTCATATCGGAGGCCCAGGCATGAAAGGGCTCTTGTTGGTCGGGCTCTTGCTGAGAACGCTCAGGATCTCCATTCTCCCCTGAGAAAAGCACACTGGCCGTTTTCTTTCTGGCTCCCTCCCTGGCCTGGCCCCCTTTTACGGGGGGTGAGGGGGATAGTGTGGAGATTTGCGGCAGGACCTCTGTTCTTTGGGGGTTAGAGCTGCCTACGAATGTCTTAACATCCGGCCTCCTGCCCCTGCCCCATTAGCATCCACACCAGCAGGTGGACTGTGATCAGACCACAGAGAGGGAGGCGCGGCTCTGTGTCTGACTTGCCGCATCCGTCTTCTCAGACCCTCAGGCCATAGCAGGATGGGATCTAAAGGGCAGTCGGGCAGTCCTGTTAGCTTCCAGGACCCTTCGTAGAGGGAGAGGGCTTTTGAAAATGTGGCCACACACGGACTGAGCCCCGAGGGCTGACCTCCGGGGAAGGTTAGCTTTGGGTGGAAGATGAGAGCATGCGTTGGCACAGATGGAAAGCCCCTGACGGTTTGTGCAAAAAAGAAGACACAGCGTGTGTCTTGCTTGCGATTCCATTTGTGTCTGCTGTGGGCTGGGAGGAGGTGCTTCCATCCGTGCCCTTTCCCTTGTTCTAATGCAAAGGGAAAGGACTTGGGGTGCCTGGACCCCAAATGTCCTGGAGAGAAAGGCAGTCACTGCAGTCCAGGGTGGATGGGGTAGCTGCGGGGGGGACAGTCACTGGCGGAGAAGGGAGGAGAGGCCAGGAGGGTCAACAGCGGAGACGGGGAGAGGCCGAGGCTTCGCG